TTTGTTGAGCCCTAAGTAGATGCTATGAATGTTCAATTCATCTAGTTCTCAAGGAAAGTTTATTTTTATCTCCACATTGTCAGGAACATTAACTAGTGGGCCCAACTCAGGAGGAAGTCAAATGGTTTGCTTCCACATCATAAGGGAAGTAAGAATCCGAGGCAGGGGCTAAAGAGTTGTTCTTGCAGAGGACCCTGCCCACACAAGGCAGCTCACACCTGCAGGTAACTCCAGCTCCTGGAGAATCAATGCCTTCTTTTGGCTACTGCAGGCACCCACACACGTTCACATACCTACACCCAGACACACAGACACATAAAGCAAAAACATAAAATAAATCGTATAAAAAAATAGAGACAGGAATGGAATCTAAGCTGGGCTGTTGTTATTATATATTCCTACTTATATAGCCCTGCTAAAATTATTGTTTCTCTGGATGGATTCTCTGCGATACAGCACTGCTTTCAGGACCATTATCAAGGTCATGTGTGCCTCACCCCATAACCCATTTCACCTAGAAATATTTATATAGTAAGGGCTTTATATGAGGGTGTGGATGCTTTGAAAGTAAGTTTTAATGCTAGCCCACAGTATTAAATGCTGGTTAGCATCTTGGTGGTAGAACTTTGAACCAGGATGTCAGCAGCAACTCTTTAGCAACTTTCAACTTGCAGTTCATGTGATGACCACGAGGTGGCACGAGAGTGTCTTTTTTCTTTTTTCAGAGGAAGGAAGATGGAAAGCTTCTAAAACAAGATTCGGGGGCTTATAAACTTAAATAAAAATTTGCTAAGAATGTCTTGAATTAATCTTAGTAAATCTATGGGGAAAAACAAAACAAAAAATTTTCCATCCATGGTGAGTCTTATACAGGTATATAAGAAAGTTCCTTCCTTATATGCAGGTTCACATTTTATATCTATATAATCGGACCAAACTCCCAACATTCTACTTTTTCTCCTTTCAGACCTATCTGGCAACATCAGAAAATCACCACCATATCATAAATATAACGTATTAGCCAGTATAATTTGGCACACATTAAAACATCCGCGCGTTTAAAAAAAAAAAAAAATCTGTTCTTGAGTATGCAGGACTCCCAGATGAAAACAACCCAACCTCAGTTCTTTGTTTCTATCATTCAGTGTATACCATGAATTCCAGGAGCCCATAAACCCACATTTTTTAAAAAAATTATGTATTATTTTTGCATTTAATTCTATTGTAGTTTTTTTTCTTGCCATGGCAGCATGGACAGCACTTTTTTTTCTTACTAATCTAGAATTCCCCTGTCAAATCATCCAAAGAACTGAGATAAACGTCTTAAATCTAGGTTGAACTCCTTCGAAAAAAGGATCCTTTTGGTTGTTGTGTAAACTGAGATGTGAACGCCGTAATAATAATACATAAAGACAAATGCCTACCTTAGATCTCCTTTCTGGCAGATTTGTACTCTTAACAGGACCGTGAACAAACTATGGTGACTTCCTTCTGACTGCCCTTCTCATTTGTTAAATGGACTGGGCCCTCATGTATCAATCACTAATTAAGAAAATGCCCTACGGGGCTGGAGACACGGCTCAGAGGTTAAGAGCACTGGTTGCTCTTCCAGGGGTCCTGAGTTCAATTCCCAGCAACCACGTGGTGGCTCACAACCATCTCTACTGAGATCTGGTGCCCTCCTCTGGCGTGCGGGCATACATCGAGGCAGAATGTTGTAGTCATAATAAATAAATAAATCTAAAAAAGAAAATGCCCTACAGGCTTGCCTACATCCCTACCTTATAAAGGACCCTCAATCGAGGGTTCCTCTCCTCTCCTCTCCTCCTCTCCCCTCTTATCTCTTTTCCTCCTCTGACCCTAGCTGAGACTGTGTCAAGCCAGCACAAGTCCCTTGTACACATTCACAGGGCGGAAGCTCTGAGTCCCCCATTGTTGCGATGCCTGTAAGACAGAACAGGCCCTCTCTACCTCCTTGTCTCCCCTATCCTGTTGTGAACACCTTTTGTTTTTCTTTTTTTGGTGTTTTGCTTTGTTTAGAAAGAATCTGACTCTAAAACCCACTGTGTAACGAGGGTTAGTCTCAAACTCATGGCCAGCCTCCTGCCTCAACCTCTTGAGTGCTGGGATGACAAACAAGAGTCACCACACCGGGCATGGTTCATTTTTGAGACAGGATCTTTTTTTTTTTTCTTTTTTTTTATTGAGAATAAGAAAAAAAAGTTTCCGCCTCCTCCCAGCCTCCCATTTCCCTCCCCCTCCCCCCAATCTTCTCCCCCTCCCCCCAATCTTCTCCCCCTCCCCCCTCTCTTCTCCCCCTCCCCCCACTCCTCTCACCCCCCCTCTCCTATCCAAAGAGCAGTCATGGTTCCCTGCCCTGTGGAAAGTCCAAGGTCCTCCCCCCTACGTCCATGTCTAGGAAGNCCCCTTGTCATTGATCTTGGCTTCTCATCAGTCCTCATTGTTCGCCGTGATCAGAGTGTCCGGTTTTATCCCATGCTGTTTCAGTCACAGTCCAGCTGGCTTTGGTGAGTTCCCAATAGATCAGCCCCACTGTCTCAGTAGGTGGGTGCACCCCCCCGTGGTCCTGACATCCTTGCTCGTGTTCTCCCTCCATCTGCTTCTCATTGGGACCTTGGGAGCTCAGTCCATTGAGACAGGATCTTACAGTGTCACCTAGGCTGGTCTTGAATTCACAATCCTCCTGCCTCAGCCACCCAAGAGTTGGACTGACAGTCATGCATCGTGGCCCCAGCGACCCCGAGTGCCTGCTGGGTGTTCTGAGCCTTCTGCGTCCTTCACTTCTGCTCATTTCCACAGTACCGCTGGTTAAAGTGGCCTTCCCCAATGCAGCAGCAAAGGGTTGCCTGGGGTCAGAAAGAGCGGTGATGTCCCAGAGAAAGGACACACATGTAGAAGAACGGTACCCGGGTATGAGTTCCAGTGCCGCTGGGGCGGCTTTGATGGTAACACCAAGAATGGGCCGAGTAACACATCTCTAAACCACGAGGTACTGAAACACACATGCCTGACCCCAAATGCACAGCTTAGCACTCCAAAACCGGCCGAGCCACCTGGGACTCCACTAGACTTGGGCTATGCACACATTCCTCCTCGCCCAATGCACTTGGCAGCCTGAGGACCTCGCGTGCAGACGTCATGCACATAAATCTCGCTCTGAACAATGTACCTGGCAACATGCGAGCAGCCCAGGACTCACTCACAGAGCTGCAAACACACCCTCTGAACAATAGGGTAAATTCCCTTTCCCCTTAACAGCCATCAGAAGCATGGTCTGCCATGTTCTAGTTATGTCCAGAAATGACGATAAAGGACCAATCCGGCCTGAACAGGTTTGGAGTGCATGTGCAAACTGTCCTCAAAGTAAACTGTTAGGCACAGTCTTCTACTTACCACCTATGCCTACGCACAACTGGGCATGCGTGAGATTAAATCAGAAACATCAGGGGAAGGAACATGCACAGTAGGCAAGGGGTTACACAACCTGAAAGCTCTCAATCAACATAGAGAACCAGAGGGTAAGAGCATTGCCTGCTTTTCCAAAGGTCCTGAGTTCAATTCCCAGCAACCACATGGTGGCTCACAACCATCTGTAATGGGGTCTGGTGCCCTCTTCTGGCGTGCAGGCATACACACAGACAAAATATTGTATACATCATAAGTAAATAAATATTTTTTAAAAATAGAGAATCGCTCAGACTATATCCTTAATATCCTCGCTCCCCCTTCCCTTGAACCCCTAAAACAAAGCTCCACAAAGCTCCATGGGTAGCATGATGGCTAAGTGGGTAAAGTCAGAAAGAGGGGAAAGAGGCCATGGTAAACAACAAGATGGCAAAACTTCTTCACCCTAAGACCTGGCAGGCTCTACCAGCTGTAGCGGCAGTGGCGGCAGCACCCCCTTGAGGGTGACTTGCCCAGGGTTGCCTAAAGTCGGTCCCGCTTGGAGCTGTGGGCCTATCAATCGTCCTCTTCTTTTTTTTTTTTAAATATTTATTTATTATGTATACAATATTCTGTCTGTGTGTATGCCTGCTGGCCAGAAGAGGGCACCAGACCTCATTGCAGATGGTTGTGAGCCACCATGTGGTTGCTGGGAATTGAACTCAGGACCTTTGGAAGAGCAGGCAATGCTCTTAACCTCTGAGCCATCTCTCCAGCCCAATCGTCCTCTTCTTTAAGCTGACCAATCCAAAATGAGGGGAGGGGACCTCTTCCAGGCCACCGAAACCAATTAAGAGCTCCAGCCTTCCCGAAGGAAAATGTATTTCTGTTTCAGGATCCCCTTCCCGTGTGAGAGAAGTTTGTGGGGAGCGCGCGGAGGAGGTGTGAACACTGCATGCACTTTCGTTTTTAATAAATCCTGTTTGCTTGCTGCGACCGTAACTTATTTCCTGTCTTTTCATTCCTTAACCAGCAGATAAACCGAACCTGACCCAAGACTTCTAGACAAATCCTATTTCCATCAGACATGGGTAGGTCACAGAATTTCTTGATGGCAAGGGAACGGTTTTTGGTTTTGGAGGAGAAAAGTTCCAGTGTGCCCCATGGAAGAAAGAGAAGCAGGGCTGAGAAGAGCAGGAGGGCACAAGGGGACTTGTCTCTGGGCTTTCCAACAGCCTTCAGCTTTTCAGAACTGCAGCCCCAAACTTGGAGGTATCATTTCCTGAGCCCCAATAGAAAAATAGAAGCAACAAACCACAAAATGGTAGTGTCCGGTTTCATTCGGCTGCTGTAAAAACATTTCCACAGGCCAGCCCGCTCCAAACAACTCCTCTTCATTGAGATTCTCTTCCCAGATGACTCTGGGTTTTACGAACCTGGATGTGGGACCATTAAAGCTAACAATCACATAAAGTTCCTGAGGCCCATCAAACAGAATCAGACAGCAGAGGCCCCATGTAAAGAGGCACCAGCTGGTTTTTGCCCAGGGAACACCTTCCTGCCCACGACACACTCGGAGCTCTCAGAGGCCAGAGAGCACGCGACAGTCAGGAGTTCCCGGTGAAGCTCAGTGCTGCTGACAAGCCGCAATAAAAGGATTGCAGGTCTTGCGTCCGTCAGGAGGGTACTAAGCATGCCGGGAGTGGCAGGAAATGAGATAAGAGAAGTAGTCACAGGAATAGAAGACTCTAGAAGAGATTGTGAGGGTTTCAGATTCGACCCAAGTGCAGGGCGAAATTAATGTGGGACCCTGAGCTGAGTAGAACCGTTTGATCTGCTGCATCTTAGTGACTCTTCTTGTTGCTGAGTCCGGTGAAGACAGGGCCATGGGCGGAGGGTGCTGGAGTAACCAGGGCTCTGCTGAGCAGCCTGGGGTGGAGCTGAGAGGAACGCGAGCGGACGGTGGTAACCCCGAGAGCACTGGGGGAAGGCAGAAACTGGAAGTTCGCACAAACCCAGAAGATTTGCGAGTGAAATAGATTGAAAGTGTGTGAAAAACGCAAGGGAAACGTGCCCTGTAAATTGTGCTACGAAGTCCGATGGAAAAATACCGCTGACGTGATCTGAGCTGGGGATTACCGGGAAGGAATCTGAACAGTTTCTCTAAGTATTTTTGAAATGCCGAGTGTTCTAGCATAGCTGAGTTATACTCGGAGTATGGTAGTAGGCAGTACTTCCTTGCTAATCGGCCAACGGCTTGCCGGAGCTGAGTAAGGACTCCGTAACTATTAGCTGATAGCCACCACTCAGCTCCCAGTTTAACTTCTCAGTGAAGTCAATTATTGCCTAAGAGAATCTGAACCAGTAAGCTGAGAAGTAGGACACCTTGTGCTTGTCTGGTTGAGTGTCTTGTGTCGTCTAAGTTAAGGGAGGGTGTTCAAGAATGTGTGACCAGCTCCGAAGAAACTGAATTTGGACACCAAACTCTGATCTTTCCTTCGCAATGAATGCAATGGACAGCTAGGGACGGAGGCTGGGGAAGACCTTGAACCTCCACAGAGAAGACATTTCCCTTTCCAGAGCCGCCCATCTGCCCTTTGAACCTGTGATGGACTGCTTTGTCTCCATGGAAACAGACTGTGTGCCTTACAAATAGATAAACCGCCTAGCTTGGGCACTCCACCTAGGGTAAGTCACTGTGCCTGTGATTTCCCAGCATGCAATTGGTCCTGATATCTGATTGGGGCATCCGCTGGGGTCAGTTCTGACAAACTGACCTCCATCCCAGCAGTCCTGCCCTAGTGGTTTGGTGGCAATGGAGTCACGGCATTTAGGGCAAGGCTTTCTGAACTCACCTTGCACTTGGGGCCAACTTCATTTCACACACAAGAAAAATGACCAATATCTTTTGAAAGCCAAACCCTGGTTATGTCCGGCTTTCCACCAACTTAATACCTGTGCCTCGGAGCTGGAAGTGTGCGGAGGGCACACAGCTGGCACAGCTGGCACAGCTGCCCAGCAGCAGCACTCGAAGTCTCATGGCTTCAAATGACAACAGTCCCTGGGTTCTGTGAAGGAGCCCAGACATGACACCACCATTCCTACACAGAACCATATCACCAGGCCCTTCACCCTCTCTTAATTCACCTGCCCCCCCTTTCCCCACTAAGTAGCAGCAATCAAAAGAGATTCTCCAGGGTAATGTGACCGATACGACAACGGAGTGTGTGGCTGTGTGGGGCGGGGGTGGCTAGTAATGACCGCGTCCTGTCTAGCTGCTGAGGTCAGGCCAGCTGCGCCTTGAGGTTTCATCGTTCCAACACGCCCTGGTTTTGCCCTCTCTGTTCTTCTTGCCTGTGTGTGGGGGGCGGGGAAGGGGGGGTCACCTACGAGAGAGGAAGCAGAGAACACAGTGGATAAAAAGCGGTAGTCAGTTGCATTGTTGCAGGTAGGGCACCCCCATCCAGGTGAGAGGCTGAAGTGAGGATGGGAGCCGTGGTTAGAAATCGAACCCGGATGGGAGACGGAGGGGTTAGGGTGCTGGGAAGAGACACCTGTGCACGTGGAACTCGCCAAGAAAAACGCTAGGAAGGGAAGAACGCGAGGGACCATATTGGGCGTGGGGGTGGGTGAAGAGGTAACTACCGTGAGGGTGGCCCCATCTTCACAGACGCCTTCTTGTTCTTCCAAAGAAAGGAACCAAGAGTTAAGTGGCCCTCCGCTATTTGCATGTGGGTTGGACAGCCAGCACTTACCCTCGACAAGTCCTTGTGAAAATACCAAGAAATGGGCAACCAACATCTTTTGAAAAGACGACTGTAAACAAGTGAAGGACATTCGATACTTGGAAAATATACTTTGGTTGTCTGAAGACTAGGTAGAGGAGAGGTTCTCCACCATTCCCTGCTCTGTGTGGGTTTACTTCAAAAAGATACTTTGTCACTGCGAAGAAGCAGACAGGCAACAGCCCTTTTGTAGAAGCGAGGTCTCTACAAAAAATGAGAAGGAAGAAGTCACGTGGGACACACACAGCTACTGAGCACGCTGTCCACTCATCCGCCTTAGGTCAGGCGATTTACGCAAAGGCTGCAATTCAGAAACCGAGATTAAAGCCCCGTGACTCAGTGAGTTAAGCCCAGCATGTTGCCTGTTGTCCTGTGTCCTGATTGGCTCTCTATTGCTGTGATAAACACCGTGACCGAAAGCAGCCTGAGGAGGAAAGGGTTCATTTCGGCCCACAGGTTGGAGTCTATCATTGAGGAAAGTCAGGGTAGGAACTCAGGGCAGGGATGGGTGTAGAGGCCATAAAAGTGCCGATTAGTGGGCTACTCCCAAGCTTGCTCGGCCATCTGCCCAGGCGCAGCACCACCCACAGTGGGATAGGCCCTCCCGCATCAATCATTAATCAAGACAATGTCCCCACAGTCTTGCTTGTAGGCCAATCTTTTCTCGGTTGAGGTTCCCTCCTCTCACACGACTCCGGCCTGTCCCATGTTGGCAAAACACTAACCAGAGCATCATTCCTCCGAGAAGACACGGTCCCGTTGCTATGCCAGCAAAACTTACTCAGAGCACACTGGGCGGACTGCTTCACTATGGGGAAGGTTTGAGGGCTAAAAACCCAGCCCCTGTGCAACCATGAGGACAGATGGTGTGACCTTTCACAAGTGGGACCTACCTAGGTGGAGGTGCTTACTTAGGTCACGGGGACCCCACCCTTAGAATAGACTAATTCTGACTTCCTGGGGTGGATTGGTTCTGAGCAGAGGAGTTTTGTTTTTGAATTTTTTTTTTTTACAGTGATTGAGCAAGGCCTTCTGAATTATCTCTTGCTTCCCATGTTCCACATGATCTCTTTTGTAAGTCCCAGCTGCAACCACAGGCCCTGTGCCATGACGCAAGCAGAACACCTCTGTCCTAAGGTTAAGCAACTGGGGTCACCTTTCTGCCTCCAAAACTGAGACCCCGCTGAACTTGTCTTATACAGTGCCTAGACGAGGTGTTAGTCCTTGCAACACAAAACAGTGATGCTTGCTTAAAAAGCAAACAAACAAAAGCAGCATTCGGCTGGAGAGATGACTCAGCGGTTAAGAGCACTGGTTGTTCTTCAACAGGTCTCAGGTTCAATTCCCAGCACACACGTGGCAGCTCACAGCTGCCTATAACTTCATTTTCAGGGGATGCAATGCCCTCATACAGGCATACATGCAGGCAAAACACCAATGCATGCAAGACAAAAATGTTACTGGACGGTGGTGGTGCACACCTTAAATCCCAGCACTCGGGAGGCAGAGGCAGGAGGGTCTCTGTGAGTTCTAGGTTAGCCTGGTCTACAGAGTGAGTTCCAGGATCTCCAGGACTGTTTGTTACATAGAGAAATCCTATTTCAAAAACCAAAAACCTAGCATCTCCTCTGTCTGGGGAAAATGCATGAGAAACACACAGGGGAGGGTAATTATTATAACCAGGAAGCGTGTTGGAGCTCAAATCCTGCATTAGAGCCAAGCAGCTCTCACACCTAACTGAACCTGGTCCTTCAGGAGAAAAGTTCAACAGCCACTTCGTGAACAAACACTGTGCTAAATATAGAACCAAAACTGTCATGGACTCTTTAACAGTTTTCTGTACACATGAAAAAATACTCAGCCGTCACTTTTAATGGATAAGATGTGCAGGATAACACTCCAAGTTTAAAACTGAGGAGGCGCATAACAGCGAGGAATCTGGGTAAGAGGCAAAAGGGAGATTTTTAAAGGTATTTATAATAAGTATCCAGTCTTACGATAAGACAGGGCTGCCCAATGAAACCAAGAACCACGAGAAGGCAAGTCTCACCTCGGCCAGTATACAGTCTGAGGATGGAGCCTGTGGCTGACTGTGCTGTGGCCAGGGTCAGAGCCCCTCTCTGGTGTCATCCCATAGGGACTGACTTGGCAATCTCTAGACTCAAAGGGAAGTTTGCAGCCTGTCTTCATGCTCCAGTTTCCCCTGAGCCCTAGGCTAGCCTAGGCGGAGAACGTCCTGAGTTCATTGGCCCACACCCCAGAGCGCACAGCCAACTGCCTACCTCTTAATAGAGAGATTTAAGGAGCCCTCAGGAGCAGATCCACCCACTCAGCTCGAGCCTTGCTACAGAGTTAAGCCGATTATACTTGGGTGGGATGGAGTGTCAGTGACTGCTGGGATGGCCAGGCCCACCCAGTACCTGAATTCATTGTTCTCTCCTGATTTAACCTCAAGGAATTGGGACCAACAACTCTGGGGAGGGAAGCTGCAAACTGAAACTGATGAGGGCTGCAAGTTACTGTGGCAGCTTCTTCACAGATGTGAGGGTTTTCCTCTGAAAGGTACCCACACCCATGAGGTGGGCGCCTCTTCCATCCATGTTTCCATCCACGGTCCTTACACTGCATGGTGAGGTTCTCATACCTGACCCCTTCCTTGTGCCTATCCTGTGAAAGCACACAGCCCGACTATTGCTAAAGGTCAAGCCACGGAACCTTCTAGATCTGGATGGGTAACTGAAGGTAGTATCTGTAGACACGGCTCAGCAGCGAGAACCCTAACTAGCCAGTCAGATCTGGCTTGCCACGTGGGCTCTCTGCCCAATCAGTCACCTGCCTCCCCAATGGTGCACCTGCGTGCGGTACGTGTGCATGTGAGTGCATGCGTGTGTGCGTGCCTGGGTCTCCATAGGAATTCTGGTCCCATTACCCTGTATGGCGCTGTTCAGAGCTGACCTGATGCCTGGCACAGAAACTGCAATTGTTTCCAAAATAAGTGATTCTGTTTTTGTCAATTTTTATTGACATGGGAGAGGGGGGGCAGCTCAACTCCCAGGACTGCGGGAAGGGGGGAAATCCTAAGGGATTTTGTCAGTTTTGTTAAGAAGTAATAGTTACGTGTGTATAGGGTGGGGGTGGGGCATGTTGTTGCTTGCCCTTTCAGAGGTTAGAGCAGGTAGGTCGGTGTCTCTATTGCATTGACACAGGCTCTCTCACTGACCTGTGAGTTCGGTTTTTCAGGTAGGCAGGCTGACAAGATCTGCCTGTCTCTGCCCGCAATGCTTGCATTACATACAAGTGCCCGAAGCCATGGCTGGGTTTGTTTACACTGGTGCTGGGAATTCAAATGCCGGTCCTTATTGCTTACATAACACTCCTATGCACCCTCAGGTCCTTAAACAATAGTTCTAAAGACTGCAGGTGTAGCGCGGTGGTGGGGCACTTGCCTAAGCAAACATCCGGGGCAATGGAACCAACTGTCCAATGGTGATTTACAATGAAAATGCCCGTGCCCTGTTTGGATGTCCAGGATGCTCTGGTTCACACAGCACATGCTCCCGAACCGGTAATGTTGTCAGCAATCATACAGCCAAGGCGAATGCTCAACTAATGGAAAATGGCGAGTCTAGTCTGTCACCCAGGTCACCAAAGCTACAGCAGGACGGAGAGCTGAGGTCGGGACAAAGTTAGCAGTCCCACCTTCCAACTGAGAAGGGTTGCCATTGAGCCATCGCTGGCTGCATCCTCTCACACCTCAAATCCATTTTGTTTGAGATGGGGGATGGGGTTGTTACTCTGTGACCCTGGCTAGCCTCGAGCTTGTGGCGACCGACCGTCCTACCTCAACTTCCCTGCCTATTTCTTTCTTCTTTTTACCAGGCAGCCCAGCTGGTCCTGCACTCTCCACACCCAGGGGATGGTGTTCAAGTCTTGCTGCATAGAGTGCAGCCCCACAACCGGCAGAGGCCAAGGAGGCCAAGGAGGCCAGACTCCGTCAGCATTATCTCAGCAAACCCATTACCTCCGCATTTGCTCTTCGTCCTTGGCTTATGACACGGGGACTGTGGCCGTGATAATCTGCTCTGCTCTCTTCGGGACTTGAGCAGCCAGTCTTACCAGTTCAAACCAAAGGTACTGGTTTGATTTGGCTCCCCGAAGCCCTAACCTGGTCCTGACAAAGAAGGACCATGCCCTCTATACGTTGTCATCCCTGGTGACAGTCCTTGGGGAGCAGAGCAGCTTAGCCCCATCGCGCGCTTTGCCTCAGTACTAGAGAGCACACATCTCGAGGAAGACTTATGGAACTCCGTTTCTAAAATCTCAAGCCAGGCATGCGGCACAATAATCATCATCCTTGCCCCAGCATTTGTGGAGGTGAGGGTAGGGGGATCAGGATTCAAAGCCACTGTCATCTATATAGGAAGTTCCGTGCTCAGCCTGGGCTACTGATAACCTTGTTTAAAAGCCAACTGATGGGGAAGCTCACTGGTGTTAACCAATCACACCCGGTTAAGGCGTGGCTACCTGGACCGAGGAAGAAAAACTGAGAGGGACCAGGTGTGCGCTCTCTCTGGGCAATTCCCGCCTGACGTAGAGGAAGTTGGACTTCCCATTCCTGTGGTATGAGTTTCCCTTTACAACACAGTGAGTCTGTCTCATAAAACAAAACCACACCCGAAACACTTTCATAACAGGAGCAATTTCCCCAAGATCTTACTTTGTATGACAGAAAAAAACAAAAACATTCATAGGAGTTGATTCTGCTCCCGCAGTGAGTGAGCGTCTCCCAACTCAGTCCTCTTCTAAGGCCTCCTGCTCACGCCATATTTAGGTCACAGCACCCGGACATCGGCTGAGTGTTTTACACCATTCGTTTTGTTCAAACGTGGTAATTAACGAAAAGAAACTCCAATGCAAAACATTTTAATAAGTCGTCGAATATACAGTTATTAGAATTATCTAAATATCACTTATAAAAATTGGCATATCACATTAAATGACTCCAGAAACACAGTGACGACCCTTGCACTCCAAGGATATCCTGTCAACGGTACAAATTACAAACACTGAGAAAGAGACCTAGAGACACCGAGACATCTACACCCAAGCACAGCAATACATTCGTTCATCGAGTACGGGAGGGCCGCGCTGCCGCCTGCCGCTACTGTGGGCACAACCTGGGCGCAGCTTCCCACGCTTCTGTACATCTTCCGGTACAAATCCCACAGCAAAGTGTCTATGGATGCCTTCCTCCTCATCTACAGGGGACCGCAAACCCTGCCTTCAGTAATTAAACTGTTAATCCTCTAAGTGGGCACCAGGCCAAAGTGTAGCTACAATGACGCATTTTTAAAAAAAAATAACTAACAATAAAAATATTTTGACTTTCTACTGACTTAGTGGCACGAATCATGCCTGTTCTTAATAGAAGCTAACAAAACAAGGTGGAAGACTTCCAATATTGTCAGCAAAGATGTGAACTCCTTCTCAAAATATCGGTATTTTATGTTATAATGTAACTACTCTGAAGCGAAGAAGGAACTTCATCACTGAAGTTCTTGAAATACTGGCGATTTAGAAATCTGACGTCTAAGACGCTCGCGCTGGTAAGGGGCGACCGCAGCAACACACTACGCTAGTATTGTTCTGAAGGAGAAGCCAGGCATCGTTTTCCAAGTAAAGGTGGGATGGAAGGTTGTTTAACGCCGTCTCTAGCTGCCACCGGCTGGAGAGTCAAATGGGGGCCACAATGCTGCACTTGTAACTTCACCTACTTTAGCTTGGTCTCAGCCCAAAAGTCAAAAAAAAATATTGGCCTCATTTGTGACTCAGCACTCACCACATCATCTTTACCCAAGCACTAGCCTCAGCAGCTTTCGGTGAAGGTATCTGTGCATCTGTGTCACGGGAGTCCTGAGCAGGACGCTGGAAGTGGCGAGTCTCGAAATGGTGAGTTTCGAAGGGCTCACAGATGTATACTTGAGAGCGGCTTGACTGGTGCACCTTGGTGAAGGAATCTGAGTGACCCGAGGGCCAGGCCTCCAGAAACCACCCTGCAGGTCACTGTGTTCTAAAAGGACTCGATGGGGGGAGGGGGGAGGGGCAACTGCAGCTACAGGTGTACAAAAGTCAAGGCCGGGGTCTGGAAGAGAGGTGCTGCAGCGTAAAGAGCTTAAACAAAGCAGGTTTAAACAGCAGACCTCGGGAGGTGTGGCACAAACCAGTCAGCCACCCTAAAGACAGCCTTGGTGCCTGTCACCTCACCATTCAGCCCTCCCCCTGCCACACATTCCAAATTCCAAAATCAAGGAGAAAATTGCAACTGAATTATGGAAATTCACCCCCCCCCCCAAATGTTACCAATTTGATAGTTCCTAGGTCTGACAGGAAGAACATCACAGAGAGATCACGAACCACGAAATGACAGTGTCATTCCTGAATTACATCAACGTTCAGAAACCAGTTCTTACTCAGCTGAGTGGCCTGCGGGGCCACAGTAGCAAGCTGTAGTGTGCGCAGGCAGAGTGCACAAGCCCCCTTCAGACACACGAAGCAAAGCACCCCAGACAATTGAACACCACGGCTATCAGAACCACTTACACACATTTTCCAAACTCTCTTCAAAGACTATTTAAATATTTAACAACAAGTATAATTTATGCAACTTCCATCCATATTAAAATAATTAATGTAAATACTTTATTATAAAACTATTTTACAATTTAAACTTTTATTTGAGAAACATATTCACATCCACAATTTCTTAAAAGTCCTTTCCATGAGTGCACCCCATGAGAAATACACTAAAACCATGTTGGGGCGCGGGGGGGGGGGGGGAGGCTAGCATTTCCATCAGCCCAAGCCATCTCCTCATTTGCTCAGTTCTTAAATACCTCTGCGTTCACAGACGCTTGGCTAGTGATGGATGCCTCTTCCCCAAAGTGGCAACTCTCAGCATCATCTTACAAGACAGGACAGACTAGAAAACGCCACAGGTTGGTTACATAAACACGCTGATCACATTGTCGAAAAGCAGAATCGAATAGTAACATAAAGAGGGCAACAGTGGTAAAATGTAAACAAGAAGAATTGAACGTTAATCCCTTCCCTGAAAAGCAGAGATAAGAATCACTTCCTGTTTTATTCAGACAAAACCTAAAGGCAGGATGCTGGCTTCCAAAATGCCTGAAACAGCTGTGGATGAAGGGCCTGGCTGAGCTAAAGTGTGCCCAACGCTTTGAGTACTTGAGTTGACTTAGCCATCGTACATCACCTGGCACCATCCCAAATTGCCTCTTAAGATTCAAAATAGTGTTCACCAGATGAGCTTGAGAGTTACGAAATCACATCCAGATAACAAGTCAACATTGTAAGAAAAAAGGTAAAACTCAAAATTTTCTAGTAATTATCGCTTGGAATTCACTCCCACAGAACGAAAGAAACAAAACCCTCTCTCTACAGCCAGAACACGCTTGGGCAGAGAACATGGAGGCCTTGTGGGGACACCTGAAGCCTCCTGAGTGGAAACACAGAAGCACGAGCCCCAACCGCCCTGGCTGATGACCTGTGTGTTCCAGGCTCACGCTTGGGCGTGGACATTCGCAAACGGTCCTCGGATGGGGTCAGGAGAGTAAGAGAACTTAAAATCCCCTCCACTTAGAGAAAATGCTTCTAGAGTGAACAGTTTTATTTGTAATTCTGAAGGAAAGGTTTTTTTTTTTTTAAAAAAAAAAAAGTCAAGTCATAACTCAAAAATATTTTCCAGAAATGACAAGCCGTTCAATTATTCTAACCCATCAGTGAGTCAAAGTGCACAGCACTGACAGCAAAAGGATTTGCAAATTTAATCTCAATTTTAAAAAATCTTACTGATAATTAGTTAATTTGAAAAAGGTGGTAGGTGTTAAATAAACATAACACTTACAAATCTATTTTCTCAAGGAAAAGCTGCCTGCCCTTGTTCTGAGTGAAAATAAATTTCTCTGTTAGATGCCGTGGGCGTGAAACCGAGACAGGATTCTGGCCTATAGCAGCCACGGTTTGTCACTGCATAACCAAATTCTGAGAAAGGTTTTTACGCTAAGGCTTGAAAGTAAATGGGGATACATTTTTTTTTTAAAAGATGGATTTTTTAAAACGGAATAAACTCTCAAAAATTATTTAAAGAAGAAATAAACCAAGTTTCCACCTTGCCCCTCTCGGAAGCCTCACGTTGGTAATAAAAAGCCCCGCCCTTTATGACAGCTTGCATAACAGAGTAATTTGTTCTTTGCAAACAATCTCTCTTCTCCTGACCCCAGGGAGGAAATATTTGTGCTCTTAGTTCCAAGACTGCTGCTGCTACTGTTGCCGGCCACGAGCCTCAGTCAGCCTTCCCGTGAAGCAGCCCTGAGCAGGGAGGAGCTGTGGGGAACCCTGCTGGTGGAACACGCACATCTAAGCACCTTTCATCGGCAGCTCTTTTAACAGGGAGCCCACACAGCCCCATTTTCTGTGTGAAATGTTCTCCAGTTTTAGGGAGCTCGGGCACACTGGTCCTGATGAAAACAACCTGTGCCTTCCAGATCCTAAGGGGATGGCCTGACAGCGTCATAGTTTAGATACGGCTCACCGGCAAGGTTGGGTGGACAGGTTCCTTGGTGACGGCTACACAAAGCGACATGAATTCTGAATGACTGCAAAACGGTTTGCACGTTGCCAGAGTGTTGCAGCTGTCTACTCCCTGTCCCGCACGTTCCCTGCTCGACATTTCCTGTTTCTTTAGTCTTCATAGTTTTCTAATGAACAAATTAGTATTCCTGAGTAAGAATATAAAAAAGTTAACCTTCTACCAAAAGTATAAAGACAAATAGAACGCTGACTCACAATACAAACTTTTTACAGAGCGTTACAGGTGCACAGCGAACGCCTGCGGCTCGCCACGGTGCCCAGGCCACTCCTTCACAGACCGCAGCAAGACTCAACTGTCTAAAATACTCCGCAGGACAGCAATCAAATGCTTCAGACCGTAAACATAGCCCTCATCGATGGTGTTGCTAGGGAACACGTGAGCAAAGTCTATCATCCGCACTTCCACTTCTGCCGTCTCCGGACGCCCCGCAGGAAGGTGGTAGAACACTTTTTCCAGTTGGGACAGCACATTTCCGTTCAGGTGCTCCTGGGACATGCTTTTCCACCCGTTGTCTTGCTCCAGAGTCTCAACTTTCAGTGAAGTCTGACTGTGGTGCTTTTTGGAGTACAGCTTTCTGTGCCTCGCGTACACCTTGGATAAACTTTTGCCTACCGATGTCCCGTTGGCCGGGGAGCTAAACAGGTGAAAGTTGTTATTGCATTCCAGGACGTCTGCGTCCGACAGGTGGCCTTTGGAGAGAAACTTCCCGGCCAAAGTTCTCTCGTGGGATTTTGTAGTAGCTGGCTGAGATGAACCTTCATAAACAAACAGTAATGAGCTTGCATAAAAGTTAAGCTGCTTCTGATTTTCAAACCATTGGAGAATCTTCTCAACCTTCTGAATACTGGCAGCAACCGCATCTTTTCTTAAACAGAAGCCATTGTGGAAAAACTTGGAGACACCTGTAAACGAAATTCATCAGAGAGAGGGTCAAACTGTGCCTCTATCACTTGTAGTGAGTGCGGAATATTCTTTTACACCATGTGAATATATGTCACTGTGAATGGTTTAATAAGAATCTGACTGGCCAATAGCTGGACAGGATAATGCTAGGTGGGAGAACCAGACTAAGGACACTGGGAAGAAGGGCAGAGAGAAGAGTCCCCACTCAGGCATGGAGGGGAAACAGGAAGTGTAAGATGAAAGAGAGGTAATGCCATGTGGCAGAATGTAGATTAATATAAATGGGTTAATTAAGTTGTAAGAGTTAGCTGGTAACAAGCCTGAGCTATTGGCCAAGCACTTATAATTAAGTCTCTGTGTGTTTATTTTGGAGCCAGTGGTCTCAACACAAACTTCAGCTACAAGTGAGCTCACAGCAGATAAAATTCTTCACTTTGTCACACCATGCCTTCCAGTTAATCAAATCATTAACTATACAGTAAATGACACGTAGAAACTTAGATCAGTGCTCTGATGAAGAACTCATAATAGAGCTGGGCTGTGGTGGCCCATGACTTTCATCTCAGCACTCAGGAGGCAGAGGCAGGCAGATCTCTAAGTTCGAGGTCAACCTGATCTACAAAGTAAGTTCCAGGACATCAAGAACTAAACAGAGAAATTCTGTCTTGAAAAAATGAAAACAAAAATTCCTTAAATGATACCAATATCAAAGCATAATCCCTAAGGCAAACACTCACTGCAGGTAGACAGGTACTTTAGTTCTTGCTATGAATGGCATTGGTGTTGAGAAGGAACTCTTAAGGCCTGGAGTGCAGGCCTGTGCCAGCAATGCAGAAGGCTGAGGAAGGAAGATTACATGTTCAAGGCCTGCCGTGGGGCTCACAACCATCTACAACTCCAGTCCCAGGGGATCTGATCCCTCTCCTGGCCTCTCTGGGCACCAGGCAGGCATGGTATATACAGGAGGAAAATCCATACACATATAAAATAAAAATAAATCTTAAAAATTTTTAAATTATACACGGCAATAATATTAGTATTTAACCTTAATGATTAAACCTTAATGTTTAATCATACTTGGGAATGTACAGGTTAGGCAACTTGCTTTTATGTAATTTGTTCCCCCACTATACAGCATAAACTGTTAGGAAATGAAATCAATCATCAGGGAAATACAAATCAAAACTACTTTGAGATGTCATCCTACACCAGTAAATGCCAAGATCAATAAAACAAGCGACAGCTCATGCTGTCAAGGATGTGGGAAAAGAGGAACATTCATTCACTGCTGGTGGGAGTGCAAGCTTGTACAGCCACTATGGAAATCAGTGTGGCAGTTCCTCAGGCAGCCAGGAATAGATCTACATCAAGATCCAACTATACCACTCTTGGGCAATACCCAAAGAAGGCTTCATCCTTCTACAGAGACACCTGTCCAACCATGTTCACTGCTGCTCTATTTGTAACAGCCAGAAACTGGAAACCACCTGAAGGTCTGTCAACAGATAAATGGATAAAGAAAATGTAGCAAATTACAAAATTGAGTACTACTCAGCTATTAAAAAAAAATCATTACATTTGCAGGTAAATGGATGGAGCTAGAAAAAAAAATCCTCAGTGAGGTAACCCAGAACCAAAAGAGACAAATATGATTTGCATTCATTTATATGTGGAGGTTAGCTGTTAACTCAAGTAGGCTGCAATCCACAACCACAGGGGTTAAGAGTACAGTAAGGGACTAGGCAGGAGGGTGGAACTCTCTAAGAAGGATAAATAGGATAGTTATGGATGGGCGGGGTAGTAGTTTAAATGAGAATGGCCTTTCATAGGGTCATAGATTTGAATGCTTGGTTACCAGGGAGTGGTACTAAATAAAAAGATTAGGAGGGGTGACCTTGTTATTGTAGGTGCAGTCCTGCTGGAGGAAGCGTGTCACTGAGGATGGGCTTTGAGGTTTCAAGAGCCCAAGCCAGGCCCTGTGGCTCTCTCTTCCTGCTGCCTTCAGATCTGGAGGTAGAACTCCCAGTTTCCAAGTCTGGCTGCGCTGCATGCTGCCAAGCTCCCCACCCTGATGATCATGGACCAAACCTCTGAGACTGTCAGCAAGCCCCAGCTAAATGCTTTCCTTCATAAGAGTTGCCATGGTCGTGGTGTCTCTTCACACAACAGAACACTGACTAAGATGGGGGTGAACGGAACAGAAGGATCAAATGAGGAGGAGGGTGTGATAGGGAATCTGGGAAGGGACAGCTAAAAGTAAGGGCCATCTGAAGGGTCCTATGGAAACCTAATACAGTAGAAGCTTCCTAAAATACATCCATATTATGAAGGTGATCTAAATGGAATCACCAAATAATGGGGAGCAAAGCCACAGATGGACATCTTTTGCCAAACGAAGCATCCTGTTGAAGGAATGGACCACATCTAATTGAGCTGTTGGCTTTTAAAGGGACTGTAATGGTAAAAATAAAATGGCACTGTTGCCTGAGGGACACAGCGGCAGAAACGCTGCAGGTCCCTGAGCGTCAGCAATAGACAGTGGGCACGAGGCCACAGTGGGCCACGAAGGCCAGCGGGTTCTAGGTAGGGAGCCGCATGGAAGGTGAAATGGAGCAGCCAGTCCCACAAGGAGCCGCAGCCACCCACGGCAGATGAGAGACAGACAGATAGGCATGCCATGCAGAGTGATGTTGGATATTTATTTAGTGGGTTATGGAGGGAAAAGGGAGGAAGGGGAGAAGGGAAAAGAGCAGAGAGAGGTGGGGCAGGGGAGGGGAAGGGAGCCACAGCAGCAGCTACCTCTCTGGGAGAGAGATGGAAAGGGAGGGCTCAGGCTAGAAGCTGAAGATCAGCTTACCTCTGCGGATGGATGGGGGAGGGAGTGGGCATGGCTTTTCTCTTAAAGGGACAGCACAGACCATTACAGGGACCCCCATGGGAACCCCCAAGCAACCCAGGCAGTTGCCAAGGCTCTTGGTTGCTACCCACAAACTGATGGTAAGGCCCTATTGTTGAAGAACCTACACAACCCATTGAACATGGAGAAGTCAAGCTGGTCCCTCCCTAGAGACTTCACCCCTAATGACTAGTGCTCATGGTACAGGAAGGTACTAGGCACACTACCAAAAGAGACTCACACTGAAACGGAAGCAGAATAAAGGCTTCTTCCTGGGTGGGTCGTCTTAGGGAACGTATCACAGAAGTAGGAAGCAAGTGAGCCAGCAAGCTCACTAGTACTAATGAAGGTGTAAAGGAAGGGGTGCTCACAACCCACACTTGGGTATATTAGGATTCAGGGATGATAGTGAACCTACTTCTGTCTATTTAGTTTTTTTTTTTTTTTAAGTTTATGAGTTGAATTGTTATTCTGCAGGGAAATTATGTGCGAGCAGAAGCATCTTGCTGACTGCAATAGCAAAGCATTCATTTCCAGGGCTCACCTTCCTTTAACGTCTCTTTTGTTAAGCTTCTTCCATAGTGCTGGTTCTGTGTCTCGTAGCTGTCAGAATGAACATGATAAACCTGTCAAAATAAAAGAGCAGTGAACATTCAAACACTAATAGGGGTGCCCTTGGCCATGTGGGGTGAATTCATGGCTAGATACAAAATCCTTCATTCAGATGTGAAGAGAACCATATCGTCACATGAACAGGCCTAAAAGAGCACCCAGCATTCAGGAGCCCCACTTCTGAAAAGCTGCTAAGAGTAACATAGATTTTCAATATGATAGAATTATCTATTTCATTTCATCAAAATTAATCACAAATTTACAGGGCCAAGATGAGAGCATTTCCTAATACTGTAAGTTTAGCTGACTTCAGCAACACAGGCCTCAACATTCAGGAAGTAGAAGCAAAAGGTCAGGAGTTCAAGGTCATCCTACAAAGCAAGTTTGAAGCAAAGGACTGCACGAAACTCTCTCTGCCACAGAAAAAGAAGTAGAGGAGCTGGATACAACACAGCGATCCTTTCCCAGCATGCAGACCGCCTGGGTTCACTCCCTAGCACCAGTATGAGCAGGTGTGATTTATTACACACGCCTGTGATACCAGTATTTGGTATTAGGTAGAGGCAAGAGGATCAGAAGTTCAAGGTGAGCTCACCCACACAGCAAAGATGCCAGGCTGAACTACAAGAGATGCCGTCTTCAGAAAATAAAAACAGAAGCTTCCAAAAAATAAGTTTTTGATATGATGTCTTTTGTTATTTACATCTAAAATTATTCTAGAGTCAAGCGGATGGCAGTGGTGCACGCCTTTAGTTTCAGCACTCGGGAGGCAGAGGCAGGTGAATCTCTGAGTTCCAAGTCAGCCTGGTCTACAGAGCAAGTTCCAGGACATTCAGGCCTACACAGAGAAACCCTGTCTTGAAAACCCAAATAAATAAATAAATATAAAACGATTAAAATTATTCTCGAGTCATTAACAAATGCAAACAGTTGAGAAAAGGAAATGAGCTGAAGGCATGTTTCAGCCTTGAGAGCTTTCCCAGAAGCCCAGGTGTGGTGGTGGAACTCTTTAATCCCAGCACTGGAAGGCAGAGGCAGGAAGATCTCTGTGAGTTCGAGGCCAGCCTGGTCTACAGAGGAAACTCCTTTCGGGGGGGGGGGGGAGTATCAATGAAAATAATTTTACGTTGTGGGTCACCACCACATAAGGAACTGTTTACAGGCTCGCAGCTTTAGGAAGGTTGAGAACCACTGGTCTAAGTCATTACCAATGGCTGGCCGGGCTCCCTTGGCTGAAGACCACTGCTCTACACAATGCAGTCAGCCTCCGCCATCAAAGCTGTGGGCTCACGTTAGCCAGCACTCCACCACAGACGTGCGCCAGGACACACTAAACAGTGGCAGAACGAGGCAGACCCACGGCTCACGGTAACATGGTGGGTAATAGCAAATTCCAGAAACAACCATGGAGCCACTGAAAGGAGCGTGTGCAATTATGGTATGATAATACGAGTCACGGAGACCTCGGGATTTATGTGATTCCTGGGGACCAAACAAGTTGTCAGGCTCACACAGCAAGCTCCTCTGCCCAGTGAGCCATTCTGCTGGCCTTGTTTTGTCAGTTTTTATATGCTTGTGTTCATTGTAGCTTTCTAAAATGAAAAACCACTTGAACAATTCTTCGACTTTATGGACCAAGATATCAAGCCCAGCGTGGGATTTGCTTCGCTGGCACTGGCTCGTTAGCAGTCTCCCACAAAACTCCCTCCCAAGGATGATTGCAAGCTGCAATCATCGGGCACATCTAGACACACTATTGGTTTAGAGTACCACATGCTACATTACTTCCCAGCTGTGGTGACGTTTGCAGAATGGTTTCAAGAATCCTTCCTTCCTATCACACGGTTAAGAGCACTGCCTGCTCTTCCAGAGGTCCTGAGTTCAATTCCTAGCAACCACATGGTGGCTCACAAAACCAAAAAAAAAAAAACAAAAACAAAAACAAAATTGTGTTGTGGCATCGGATGTCGGAAGCGACTGTTTGATAGCCCTACAAAATGACAGCAAGTCGTTCCTGCCTCTCAGGCTCCTGCTCCGGCCCCTCAGAATGAGGTCCCAGGCCACAGATGCTCAAGTTAACCTTCTACCAGATGGCACATGGACAAAGGTCCAGACCACAAGACACCTGAGCAGCCCCAGCCACCTGATAACACCAACTCTATATCTCTCCTGAGGTGAACAGTACATGTGCATATCAAAGCATAAATATGAGATTCTTTTTTTTTTTTTCCAAGATAGGGTTTCACTGTAGCTTTGGAGCCTGTCCTGGAACTAGCTCTTGTAGACCAGGCTGGCCTCAAACTCACAGAGATTCGCCTGCCTCTGCCTCCCGAGTGCTGAACTAAATGCGTGTGTCACCACCGCCTGGCTAAATATGAGATTCTTATGGATCAGCTAAAATTAAAAAAATATAATGCCAATTCACAGAACTATGTGCAAATGAAAAACTGTTTTGAAAAGAAATATGAGATGATGTGGATTTTTTTCTATTTAGAAAATAGTTCTTTTCTTTTTTTTTCACTTTTTAAAATTAATTAATTAATTAATTTATTTATTTATTTATTTATTAAAGATTTCTGTCTCTTCCCCACTGCCGCCTCCCCTTTCCCTGAAAATAGTTCTTTTCCACAGCACTTGGGAGGCAGAGACAGGTGAATCTCTTACGTTCAAGGCCAGAGCCTGGTCTACAGAGCAAGTTATAGAATAGCCAGGGCCACACAGTGATGTCTGTTTACAAAAAAACACCCAAAGTATAAAATAGTTATTTTCTTATAGGGAAGCTATAATGAATATGTAGCTTTGAATATTTATTGTGTACTTAAACTTAAAACAACTTTTTTTCTTTTTCCTTTTTTTTTTTTTGGCTTTTTTGAGATAGGGTCTCTCTGCATAACAGTCCTAGTCCCGTCCTGGAACTCACTCCATAGACCAGGCTGGCCTTGAACTCACAGAGTTCCCCCTGCCTCTGCCTCCCAAGTGCTGAGGTTAAAGGCGTGCGCCACCATGCCCAGCACCCAATTTAAAACGTCTTTAAGGGCTGGAGAGATGGCTAGGAGGGTAAGAGCACTGATTGCTCTTCCAGAGGTCCTGAGTTCAATTCCCAGCAACCACATGGTGGCTCACAATGAGATCTGGTGCCCCAATTCTGGAGTGCAGTCATACATGCAGCCAGAATACTGTATGCATAATAAATAAAGTCTTTTAAAAAAAAAGTCTTTAAGACAAAATTACCAGCATTCCCATCTTAGGGTCTGGTCATTATGTATTAATTACCTACTAGGTGTCAGGACCAGTGTGACTGACCACAGACCAGTGAGCAACACATAAAACCTCTGCCCTCATAGCTCACAGGTCACGGATGACCAAACAGCACAGGATGCTTGTTCTTATCTACTTGCACTGAGATAAGACCTGCAGTCCCCTGGCGTGGTGTGTAGGGGAAACGCGCACAGCTCATCGAAACCGCTCTTACCCTCATGCCGAGCACCAGGAACCCGATCTCCTCCATCAGAGGGTACTTGCTGACCTGCTGCTGGATTTTCTCTGAGGAGGCAAAGGGGTCATAGCTCTTCCGCCCTATCTTCACATCCATTATACAGGGCTTGTTGAACTTATGAGTCACGTCTTCCAGTTTTAGGTATACATCTGTTATTAGAGAAAAACCTTCATTAGCGACAGGCAATCATATCACTCAAATAAACCTTCAGAGAAAAACAAAGAGCAAATGCTGGAGGAGAAAAGACTTACGGTAAATCTAGAGTCAGCAGACTCCTTAACAAGCATAGACATCAGAGAAATTCCTCCTATGTGTGATGGCAGATGTCACTGGAGCGAAGAGAAGGTGTGGCCTTATGAAGCTATGGAAATACTATTCCCTATGAACACACTGCCATCTGGGCTCAGAATGAGATCTCCTAGTATTTTAAGAATTTTGTCATTTTCCTTCATTTGACATTGGTAAACTGGGGACTGAATCCAAATGACACCAAAGTTCTCCTTGCTTCCAAACGCACAGCTGCTCTGTCCCCACCTAGAGCCCTGCACACATTTGCTCACAGAAAACTTGCTGCCACACCACGAGAGCCTCTTCTTGCATTTTACCTTGATAGCAAGGACTCGGGTGCAAAGAGAAAGAGAAGGAAAGAAGTAATTCTGTCTGTTCCTAAGGAAAACAACCCTGTCAAAATTCTCAATGAGATCATGATTCATGCTTTAGTTCTCGGGGCTGAGGAGCAGGCTGGTGTGTACAAGCACCAGGAGGACCCACGCAAAGCTGGACAAAGAATCTACGATCCAAGCCCGCCTACAGAGAGATGGGAGGCAGAGGTAACATCCTCGGGAACTTGCAGGCTGGCCATCTGGCACATGCAGCAGCCAATAGGGAATCCCATCCTAAACAAGGTAGAAGCTGAGAGTCAACACCCAAGGTTGTCTTCTGACTGCTACATGTGTGTGATGGCTCATATATGTGCATGCATGCAAAATGTATGCATGTGCACACATAGTAAAGCTGGAAAAAGTATACATTTACTCTAAACCAAGTAAAAAGTACCAGAGTACCGTGTGCACTAACACATGTCCCTCTTTCCTGTCCCACCCAGACTGGCACAGTTTGAGAATTCCAATAAAGATGTTTGCATGGAACCAAATAAGAACAACTCAAGGCCCTCAGACCTAACAGAGCTAAACCTTCTGCAGAGGATGAGGGGTAAAGAGGTAAACAAACATTATCCCTTGATCGAGCAGGGCGGGCAGCTTTGCACTGTCAATGGGACAGCAGCCTGGAAAAGCATTACAGGCAGCCTAGGAGCCCGAACCTGAAACAAGCTGCCCAGGCACCTTGACAACAGGCCTGGACACAGCACCAGCGCAGGCCTAAATAGCAAAGGACAAGTGGACAAAGCTCAGCTGGACACAGCCAAGCTTCTGTGTCTGAAAAGGCAGGCACAGTATGGAGAATCTGGGAAAGGAGAGCTTGGCCCTCACTACAGTGTTGATGAGCGTCAATAATAGAGGAGAAGGACCTTAACACGGAGATACCCAGAATCGCAGCGATAGCATCCTTAACTTGAAGATGATGTCATACTGAGTCACACTGAAGTCAGGCTGGGTACGAGTGTATCCTGTCAGCCGGGAGGCACGCACACATCTCAGTGCAAGGCTGATTTCTGTGTGTCAAATGCGTGTCTCTTGAGAATTTAGACAATGACCCGCAAACCCAACTTTGAAATCCCTCTTTGTTCTTTCTCCTCCTCCTCCCATAGAGTGAAGGCCTACAAAACATGGGTGTCGCCTTTCCCATCCACTCCCACGGCACTGGACACTATGGACCCAGCCCGCCTTACACTATAACAGATTCAGTCATGTCTTCAATAAGTAGAGCCCAAACGCCATGGTTCTACTTTGCGCTTAGCTCAAATAGCCAAATGCACGTTTCTTTAACATACCCGGTTCTCGTGTGTCTATGCTTGGGATTACATCACTGCTAGACAACTGGCATTTAACATGAAAATGAGTGACGGCCTTCTGAGGATGAACTAGGTGTTCCCTTTCTGTTCCCTGGCCTCTGCTTTACACACACACACGCACATGCACGCACGCACACATACACACACACACACACACACACACACACACACATGTGGAATCAGAATGATCTCTCCCTCCCTTTTTCTTTTCTGGTGCTTTGAGACAGGGTCTTCCTAGGCTGGCCTTGAACTCACAGCACTCCCCACTTTAGCCTTCCCAGGGCTGAGACTAGACGAGTGAAATACCGCACAGCTAAGACTCTCCTGTGTATCTTTTCTTCAAAGTTGTAAAGACCAAACATCCAAGCCTGCTTTAGGCATGCAGAGGTCTAGGCCTCTGGGGATGGGGATGCGTGCCTGTCATCTCAGCACTGGAGGCTGAAGCAGGGACACTGTAGACTAAAGACAGCCGGGGCATCGTGGTTATCCGTACATAGCTTGTCCCAAAACACACAGTAAGAAAAGAACACAAGTGTCCTTAGGAAAGAACTGGTGCGCGTCATGAGTGGCTTCACACAGCTTTTGAAAGAGAGAAGTAAGAGAGCGGGCCATAACCTGAGTGCCAGACTGTGAGACTGACAGCTGTCATGTCTATCAACCTGAAGACGGCTTCACTTTGAAAAACGTCACTAGCAAATCCCTTCAGTAAGTAGAATAAAGCGCAAGTCAAAGTAGGTCAGTCTTGAACTCAGTCTGGAAGGATCAAAGGCATGTCTACAGGACCATCTTCTGAGGCAACGGCACACCCGTAACAAAAGATGTCCCCTCATGGAGGCCCCTGTGGTCCAGGGAGGAGCGGTGTTTCCCATGGAACCATTACTGAACTGTGGACTGAATGGAAGCGATTCCTGACATATAGGAAGTACAGTACGGATGTGGGGTTGCCCGAGGTGTGTCACCAACGTTACTGTGCGGCACGGTGCACTACAACTCCAGTGCTGCCCACAGACTCAGAAGTGCACCTGTCACGATCTGGAACCCAGGCCCCAACCACAGTCACCGCACCGGGCCAACATCTGAGGCGAGCTTGGAGCTGGGACTCAGGTGACCTGCTTGTGACAATTCTCGGATCTTTGGTTCATGCAACAACATGGCATTCTCCTTGTAAGAAGTGAGTGACCCTTTTGGTGGGGACAAAGGCAGAGAGAGGAAGGGCTAGGGGCATGCGCAGAAACGAACGGCAGCTCCACCATGTCATATGTTAGCCTGTGTCGAACTAGCATGTAACTTAATGGCATATACAGAGCACAGGCCCACCATGAAATAGAGGCATCATGTCCAGAGTGCTGAGGACGTGTGGGGACAGTCCCAGAAGTACCTCACGCGATAAGGCACTGCCCTGAGGCACACGGGCAGCAGCATTTAAGCCTTGCCCTCCAGAGCTGCTCCTAAGGCACAGAAGTAACATCCTGTCTGCAACAGGGCCTGGTACTCACTGAGCACTGGGCTGCAAGGACACACTAAGGATTAAACATGAGCATGACTGACGGGTATTAAAACCCATGCTAGGTCACCAGGCATGCGAGCTGAACCGCAGCATCCAGAATAAATACAAATGCAGGCTAATTCCCTGGAGCAAACTCTTCCCCTGCCCAGGAAGACAAATATAACGTAATAACCACAAAATAAAAAGGCATAATCACAACTCAAGCAGCCACTTGATAACAGATGCCCTCCACCCTGAAGCTAATCTTAAACCTTGGCCCACAGTTAAACATTAACGAGAACATCTATTTATTACATATTGATTTTTATCTCGAGCTGAAAAGAGCTAAGACGGCAAAATGCAATCTGATGCAGGCTCAAGCGGGCTCCTGCAGGTGCTCGCCCATCGTGATGTAGTTTCCCAGTCTCCAGTCTCCCCACTTCCCACACAGACACACCTGCTCACGCTGCTGCCGACCCCACCGGTACCTCCCTCCTTTACTCCCACTAAAGAAAGCCTAAGGGATTAGTTTCGGTCGTGAGAGAAGAAAAGACGGCACCAGACGTGACAACCGCTTCTCCGATGCTGCCTTTCTTTCCTAATAGGCTTCATCCACAGCACGGTGATGATGGCAAATCAGAAAATGGCTGGGCATGGTGGCACACGCCTTTAATCCCAGCACTCTGGAGGCAGAGGCAGGTGGATCTCAGTGAGTTCCAGGCTGCTTTGTCTGCATAGTGAATTCCAGGACAGCCAGAGCTATGTAGAAATACCCTATCTCCAAAAAAAACAGGCTCACCACAAATGCCATAAAAACTGCCTTCAAGCCAGGCGGTGATGGCACACGCTTTTAATCCCAGCACTCGGGAGGAAGAGGCAGGTGGGTCTCTGTGAGTCCAGGGACAGCCTGGTCTATAAGAGCTAGTTCCAGTACAGCTAAGACTGTCACACAGAGAAATCCTGTCTCAAAAAAAAAAAAAAAACTGAAACAAAAAAAAAAAAAAAAAAAAAAAAAAAAAAAAAAAAAAAAGTCTTCAGTTTTCACAAATGTGAGTCCCAAGTCTGGAGATGGGTCCTATCACCCAGACACATCTGTCTAAACAAACACTCCCAGGCTGGAAACACTGCTAGAACTGAGCACTTCAGGTAAGCGGCAGTCACCCTGAACACCACAGAGCCTCAGCTCATTTGCCTGCTCTAAGATAGTGAAGGGCAGGTGGTTCCTAAGTACCCCATGTTTATTTAGGGCTGCCAGTCTAGGGTCAGCCCTAGACTGATTACTGCTCAGTTAGGAGTTTCCAGACAGAGGAGCCCAAGACACCCCAGGAGTGACATCAGACACACCAAGTTAGGGACCAAAGCCCAAACAGTGTTACAATGTGGTCCAAGACCAGCACCAGCAAAGCCTGAAGCTTTGATGAACTGAACACGTCACCAGCCTCCAGGTGAGACAGATGTACAAGGTCTCGTCTCTCCGCTGTGAAACTTCCCAGGGTTTTCCAAAGGACTGAAAATCAAAACCTGCAGGTTGGGTGCAAGGCAGGAGACAGAAGTTAAGCAGGTGAGGCACTTCTGTGTGGGTTCTTAATGTTTTATGCTTTAGATAAGAAACGGACTTTTGCAAATTAGTACAGTACTAAGATGGACTCGTGCAACTGTAGCAGATTAATCAGTTAATGTGTTACACGTCCTTCAAGAAAATGATGATAAAAAGATGAAAGTGTCAGTGAGTTTGTTTAGGGAGGGCAGGCAAGAGAAACACACTCGCTCCACGTTGCACAGCCTTTACACAGACCCTTCGTAAAGCCAAGCTTGGGAAGTAAAGACCGAAATGTACTTAAAGCGCATTACCGTTTGGTGCGGTGGGAGGGGACCAGACGCCGTAGTATTTGGGCAGGTGTTTCCGCAGCTCCAGGAGAACAGCATCGGTACAGTCAGCGGCGTAAACCTGAACAGAGGGGCAGTGCTGGTCAGATTTCCGTGACCCCTCAGGAACAACAAGTATAACAGATTCGTAATCACCCAGCACGGGTTTGTAATAATAACCAGCTACTTACAGCACACTGACCTGGTGATCCGCAAAGTCTCCTGGTGATGTCCTACCTGTCAACATCCTTCAACTCTTGGCCACTGTGAGTTGTGTATAACTGACGCCAAATTCACAATAATTCTCTGAACACAGGACAGTAAATTCTGGTGTGGGGGGTGAGGGGCAACTTGGCTAACTTTTTGAGCCATTTTTATTTGTATTTTTTACAAATAAATTATTTTCAAGTATTTCGTTCATTTAGTGTGTATGTAGATGCCAACTTAAGGACATCAATTCTTTCCTTCCACTATGTAGATCCCAATCAAATCCAGGTTATCAGACCTAGAGACAAGCTCCCTTAAGGGCTGAGCCATCTTGCCAGGCTCATTTGTAACACTTGTCTGGCTTTCTCACTAAATTAAATATTTTGCATATTATCTATTTTATACCTATGAGGCAAGTTTTATTCATTTCAAACTTTGAGAGCCAGTTTTAACATACATCTAAACAACCATGATTTTATGTGTGAGCACACTACACAGGTTAAAATGAAACGACAGTCAACTTTTAGGAGACATATAAGATAGAATTTCATTGACCAGGAGCTGAACACTTCATAGCTAAGAGGAAGGGGAAAGAAAGTAAATTATTGTCTTTCTACCAGAAACCTACCGAGAAATGCCGACTACTAAGTGAGCGAACCATGTTTCATCTGCGCAGAGCGTGGGTCTCTCACACTCTAACGCCACTCATGGGTGACAGTCACGCACACGCTAACCCGAAGACTGGAGCACAGAGCTCTAGGTCCATCTTCAAGCCCAGGATCTTGTCGTGCCGCTCAGGAAACAAATCTGCACTGCTGGGGAATCGATCCCTTACAGGGTGAGCCATGACCCAACCCCAGTGTCCCAGATGGGGACACACCTGGAGACGGCAGGGTTTGTCATGCTGAGGGTGCTTTCCACAGAGGAAGGGCTGAGGAGACAGCCCATGGACAGGAAAGGGAGAGGCCTTTGAGAGAAATGCCTGACCAGGGGGCTGGAGAGATGGCTCAGAGGTTAGGAGCACTGCCTGTTCTTCCGAAGGTCCTGAGTTCAATTCCCAGCAACCACATGGTGGCTCACAACCATCTGTAATGAGATCTGGTGCAGAATACAGTATATATAATAAATAAATCTTAAAAAAAATGGCCAACTTTAAAAAAAAAAAAAAAAAAAAAAAAAAGAAATGCCTGACCAGGAGGCCGGGTGTGAAAAGCTTTACTTCTCTATTTCAAGCCAAACAATAATTTGTGTGATTTGTTGCGGCTGCCCTAGCCGGTGGGCACACCACCTAACTGCCCACTCCTTGTGTTGGGTGTGCATGACATGGGAGGCTGCTTTCATAGGGTCAGAGACAACACGGGACAGAATAGTGGGTAACAACAGAGGCAAAAGGAGCTCCCAGTGGGGTGGAGGGATGAAAAAAAATCAATACAAGCCCAAACACCACCAATTATAGTTGAGTGTGGGGGTGCACACCTGTAACTGCAGTACTTGGGAAACTGAGGAAGACTGCACCCAGTCGGAGGACGCCCTGAGCGTCCTAGTAAGTTACTACGCTATGCAATGAGACCCCTTTTCAAAAGAGCAACCAGAGAAAGCACAGATGTAAGCTGGGTCTCACTGAAGTTCATGACTTTGTGTTTGAAAGGACACTACCAAGACAGTGAAGAGACAGCTACAGAATGGCAGGGACGCCTACAAGTGGGCGTGTGGCCAGGGGCTTATATCCACTATGTACTACTGTAAGGATGGAACTGAACTTTTCACACACACTTCAACTGCAAAATGGTGGAACTATCTGAGCAAGCGTCACCCAAGGAAAAACACACAGACGCCAGCAAGCACATGGAGGAAAATGTGGATCTGTGGCTGATGGGCAGGGAAGGGGGAGCCATGTGGTTAAAATGTTTTGAAGTTAAGAAATAATTGGTGGTCACGGAACACTGTGAACACACTAAAAATATTCTGCATCATATGATGAATTAGGTATCAGGAACGAGTCCTTCTCCCACAGCGCAGAGAAACACTGAAGACTCGAAGAGGCAGGGCACGGTGGCACACAGCGCTGGAAAGGCTGAGGCCCAGGCACGGTGAGTCCTCCGCCAGCCTGTGATACCCTGAGACCCTCCCTCACAAGGCACAACAAACAAGTCTCCCAGAAGCTGCAATAAAGCACCAACTTAGCATTTCTGAGCGCAACAAACTCTCTGTTACGTGTTTTTCAGATCGTGGGTCACGACCAGTTGATTGAAATCAACTCAGTGACTCAGAATAAGAATCTTTAGGATGTGAAACAACAGAAAATACCAGGCTGCAGCAGAAACCCTGGGAGATAAACCGTTTCCACAAAGCACGAAGCTTGTCTGTTACGCGGGGACCCGGGGCATGCTGTCAAACACGTTTCTCACTCTGAGTCACCGAAGAACACTGAAGAGCACGTAAGACAACAAAGCATCTTGCACCACTTACCATGGTATAAAATTCCAGCTCTCGGGGGCCCCGCGGCGGCGGCTGTAGCTGTTTCAGAACGGTACCGTCTGGGTGTTGGAGTATGCCTGCGCAACAGAAATCAGGCGAAGGTCAATGCTTTGCTTATGGTGCCCTGCTTCACAGGGAACATAGGCCTTCATAAATGGGAAGGTTTCCTGTTACTTGTTGCCGAAGTTTTAACAGTCAACCAACATTTTCAAACTTGTTACAAAGAGAGACCTGCGCACATTTAAGCTTTATTATCTTCCCATTCTTTTCCCTTAGTGAGAGTCCTCACGGCCCCTGGATTTTCTAGAAACTTCTCAGTAATAGATTTTCTAGGATATGTTATGATTAAGTAAAAGAAAACAAAAGCAGTAACACAAATCCAGGCCATTTTTATAAACAAGAAAAAAATGTGTGTTTACAGTAGCCATATACGAATTTCATATTTGGCAATGTTTTATAATCCTCTCATCTTCCCAGCTCAGACGTACTGTGCACAGCTGTGCAAAGTCCCAGGCTGTAGCAGCCAGAGATGCCTTTTTATAATCTGTCTGTGCAGCACCGGAGTCTTTTTCCAAGTCACCACAGGCACACCAGCACTGGCACAACCCATGCCCTACCAGCACTCATTACATATTGAAATCTTCAGTCTTCATCTGCTGGGATGCCACAGAACACGACAATTGGAACAAAAGTCTACTTAGAGTTTTACAAGATACTCCACTTGTATCTATACTTCTTCTTGCCAAGTGACATTAACTTTTTCATTATTGCTGTTTGCTTCTCTCTCTCTCTCTCTCTCTCTTGGTTTTTTTTCAGACATGGTTTCTTTGTCTCTGTGTAATAATAGCTTTGGCTGTACTGGAACTCACTCTGTAGACCAGGCTGGCCTTGAACTCAGAGAGACCCGCCTTCCACTGGCTCCCTAGTGCTGGGATTAATGGATGCACCACCACTTCCTACTACGACATGAACTTGACAATGGCAAAAACACATAATTTAAGGAACCAAAGCAGAAGTCTAAAATCTAGACACCAGGACAGAAGGAAAGAGACAGTAAGTTGTAAGGGAACGCTTGGCTGTTGAGAAGGTTCAGAGAAGTCAGGATTACTCTAACATAGCTAAAAATGACTGGAGGGAAACCTGTTTCTGAACAAGGGAATTTAGGGCGAGCATGCCCTCCACTCCAGCAGCTATGGAGAACGACAGACGCCTGGGTTGAATCCCAGAGGGGAAAACTGAGGCATCAAGAGCCAGGAGCACAGCACACCTGCCCCTTGCCTCTCATGGCAGGTACCCAGTCTGCCCAACCAGGAGCTTCCCACCGTATTTACAAGCAGCCAATCAGGCAACTGCAACCAGCTGGGTGGAGCAGCAGACTGGATCCAAGACCACACAGGAACAGACCACTGGGCCCTACAACATAACCAAGTTTTCATAATCCCAGTCCCAGGTGAGTGAAGTTCAATGCTGTGTCTCTTTCCACAATAATCGCTGTGTCTCTTTCCACAATAATCGCTGTTGCACAAACTCAACACGTCAGCAAGCATTCAGAAAGATTGTAACATCCTGTTAGAATTTCTGTGAATGGAAGCCAGGTCCAGTGGCGCAAGCCTTTAATCCCAGTACCCTGAGGCAGAGGCAGGCACAGATTTCAAGTTCAAGGTCAGGCTGGCCTACCAAAGCTCCAGAGTGAGACCCTTCCTGTCTCAAAAAAAAAAAAAAAAAAATAACCACCCCGTATTGACAAAACAAGTTTATGTAAAGGGAACATTCTATGTAATTTCAATTTTCATCTTTACACTTTTCATCCTTCCAGAAATTATCATAAACATAATTAGGATCTTTTTTGTGTAGTGTGTGTTTATTTTTTGAGACAGGCCCTGGCTGGCCTGGAACTCAAGTGACCTACCTACCTCTGTCTCCTGGGTCCTGGTATGAAAGGTGTGCACCACCACCTCTAGCTTCTAGATGGCTTTTATATCTTTCTCTGATGGGTGGCTAACACGTAATCCTTTCATTATCAGAAATAAAACTGTACCACAGAAAACAAGCACATACTAAAACAAATGCATATTCTACTTAAGGTAAGTATTATAAATGTGTATTTAAAAAAGTATTGAAAATAATGAAGTTATTTAAATGTTAAAATTGTTTAAAATGAGAGATCATAGAAATATACCAAGACTAAGATGTTCTAAAATAAATTAAAAAAAAAATTTATCCAGACAAAGACAACTAGGATCCTAAATACATGGGGGGAAAAAAAATCAAACTTCCGCACACAAAGACAAAGATGGGTTATAAGAAAAAAGAAAAAGAAAGAAAGAGAGGGAGGGAGGGAGGAAGGGAGGGAGGAAGGGAGAAAGAGAGGAAAGAGAAAGAGGGGAGGGAGAGAGAGAGAGAGAGAGAGAGAGAGAGAGAGAGAGAGAGGGAGGGAGGGAGAGGGAGAGGGAGAGAGGGAGGGAGGAAGAGAGAGAGAAGAAAAGAAAGAGAGAGGAGCTGGGAACATACCCCATGGGCACAGTACTTGCCCAGTGTGAGGCCCTGTTGAGCCTTTCAATGGGAAGGGAAGGATGGGAGGGAGGCAGGACTAGCAAACTCCAGTCATAGCTGGACTATGATTGCACAAACAGCACATCACAGGGCAGAAGGAACTTTGATTTCAATCTTCTTAAATGTGTGTACATGTGTGTTTCTACACACGTATGTGCCTGAGGGGGTGGGGGATGGGGTGGACATCTGTAGACACCTGGAGAGTCCAGACTCAGGCATCAGATCCTCTGGAGCAGGACTTAACAGCAGCTGTGAACTGACTCAAGCGAGTTCTGAGAAATCAATCTTAACCACTGAGCAATCTCTCCAGCCTCAAGAAAAAAAAAAAGTCTTTCCATATTTAAGAAAGACGTTTCATAAAGACAAGACCAGTTGATTAAGATACAAAATTATAGATGTGTAACAAAGTTTAATACAGTTTCAGGATACAAGGAGCCAAAGTGACAACCGAAACAATACACAAATTCACCAAGACTTTCTGGGTACTTGGTGGAGAAGCCATTGTAATGATATTTAAGACCTGAACAGCAAAACACGGGCCAGTTTACACAGCAGAGAAGCGGTATGCAGCTCGCACCTCGTGGCTACAGTCCCAGCTGGGGTAGAAAACCCCTGCGTGTTCAGGTCGTCTGGAAGACGGGACAGCAGGAAGAACTGCAGCCTGCAGAACACACAAGCCGTTCAAGCATTTCTATTCACCACGCCCCAAATCTGCAAGGATTGGAATCCTGCGGAAGATGTCCTCAAACCACAGCAGCAATAGCAAGTCTTGCGGGGGAAATGCTAACTAATAGGAAAATAAATAGCACCGCTGTAGTTACACACGGATCAAACCGCAGGAGCAATGAGAAAGTCTCCAAGTGACAGCGAGGACACAGCACACACAAGTTTGCACAGGGCCACGCACAGTGAAAAGTGCGGCTTTAAATCTTTCTGTTGGCGCCGCTGGTGGAAGACTCGGTGGATATGGGCCCTTGCTGCCAAACCTAAGGACCTGAGTACAATCCCTGTAAACCACGTGATGGAAGAAAGAACATTCCATGAGTTATCCGCTGACCTCCACACGGGCACCTTCCTACCACCACCAAATAAATAAATGTAAAAAGAAAGCATTAAATATTTCTATCATTTAGGAAGAGGAACCACACGTAATATGTTAAAGAATGAAAGATGTATGAACTTCACATAATATGAACAAAAAAGCCTATTCTATAAAAACAAACACTGGGCATGGTGATCCCCCACTCCCAAAGCAAGGGAGGAAGGTCAGGAGTAAAAGGTCAACCTGAGAGATTCAGTGAGACCATGTCTCGATAAACAATTTTGTCAAAAGACAACAGACAAGAACCAGTGAAATCAAAAGTGGCTGTTCTAGAAAACGGGTAAGCACCTGGCTGAACAGATCATGGAAAAAGAAGGAAACATATCATTATTAGAAAATCAATCAACAGTCAAAGGAGAAGGAGAGACTCATAGGGTCCCATCAGCAAATTCTTTTAAATGCCCTTTGTTAAAACTGACACAGGAAGAAACAAATCTAGGGGCCAGGGCTGAGACAGGGGCTGCTGAGAAAGAGATGTCCCTGCAGTGCACTGAAAACATGTGGCCCTGGGTTCAGTCTTCAGCATTGCAAGAGTGGGTGGTGCTGTAGGAAGCCATCCAAAGGCAGCCAAATTGGCCTCCTAGTGACTGTTCCCAACACAACAAAATCAAACAAACAAATACAGCAATTGTAATCTCATCAAATTTCTCAGGAAATAAGATAGTATCTTTCTCAGCTTTTTTTGTTTGTTTGTTTTGAGGTCGGTCTGAGAGGGTTATGATGAGAGGCTGTTTAGCTCAGAATGACTTAGAATGTAATATCCATCCCATGCTGGCCTTGATCCTCCCGCCGCAGCCTCCCAAATGCTATTGTTCTCTATAGTCTAGTCTCTGTATCAGCAGTTCTCAACCTGTGGGTCCCAAGCCCTTGGGGGAGCTGCATATCAGATATCTTGCATATCAGATACTTACATCCCAATTCATAATAGTAGCAAAATTATAGTTATGAAGTATTAACAAAATAATTTTATGGTTGGGATCACCACAACATGAGGAACTGTAGTAAAGGGTCGCAGCATTAGGAAGGTTGAGAACCACTGCTGTATATGAAATAGTGTAAATGTGATTTCTAAAAGCTCCAGCAAAGATGGCTAATGCATAGACTATAATCTCAAACAAACACCATCACAAGGGCAGGGAATAGCTCCACAGGTATGGAGATTCCCAGCATTGCATAAATTAGGCGTGGTGGCACAGGCTTTTTAATCCCAGTTGAAGAAACCAGGGAAACAAGAGTATCAGGAGTTCAAGGTCACCTGACTACATACTGTGATCAAAGCCAGCCTGGGTTACGAGTTTTTTGTTTTTTGTTTTTTTGTTTTTTGTTAAATCATGGGTATGAATATAGTCCTTGCTTTGCTTTTCTTTTAGACTTTCTATGTATATGAGTGCTCTATATGTATACCTGCACACTAGGTTGTGA